AGCAACAAGCGGAGAGCCAGGACCTCGGGGTCCCCTTCTTTGCAGGAGATCCCGCCGATGAAGACACAGAGATCGGGGACCCCCCTGCAGCAGCCCACCTTCTCGACTTTGTCAGCGGCACGAAGGGCCTTGACCAGGTGCAGGGCGAAAGCAAAGGACGCGGGAGACATAGTACTGCGGGGCCCAGGTCGTGGCTGAAGGGTAAAAGGCCTTCACTTCTTCATCCACGACCTCGAGGCAAGGCCTAGCCAAGTTCTTGGGGCGGGGGCCGTTGCGACTTCGAGGTCCAGCCAACGCCGGCCACCCTTCGCGAGATACGCCCCTACTGGATCTGCAGAGCTGGAAGGAGAAAAGGCGGGAGGGCGACCGCGCGCAACCAGTGAAGGAAGGTAAGCTGCGGGCCCACCTCGCCGCGGTGGCCGCCAAGCCTAAGGAAGCGCTGGCGAGACTTCGGAGGGACTTCTTCGCGAGCACCTCTCTGAAGCCCAAGGCCTCCAGGAAAAGGTTGGTTCTCAAGGTGGCGTCAGAGGTCGCAACTTCTCTAAGGGGCGGCGGTGACCCGATGCCACTTTGCACTAAAGTCCTGGAAGCCACCGCGGCGGTCTTCAAGGAAGCAGGCTACAAGTCAGCTGAAGCCTACCTAGTGGAGCTTAAGCTGATTCATGTGGAGGCCGGCCACCCGTGGACCCACGCACTTCAGCGGTGCCTGGACCTTTGCAAGAAGTCGGTCCGGAGGAACAGGGGGCCGAGAAAGAAAGCTCTGGCCTTAAACCTCGACAAGGCGGCGGCAACGAAGGTTTCGAAGAACTGGGTGCGGAGGAAAGGGAGGCTGGCACACCCAAAGGAGAGCTTTCTGTTCGCCGGGGTCTGGATGCTCAGGGAAGATGAGCTGGAAAGGGTGGAGACCTCAGACGTGAGGATAGAGGACAAGCTGGTCTACATCTACCTGGCGCACTCCCAGACCGACATAGAAGCTCAAGGCACGGTGAGGGCCTTGCAATGCCGGTGCCCGGGAACCACGCGCAGGAGGTTATGTCCTAAGAGAGTGACAACGGACCTCCTCAACAAGGCGGAAGTGCTCCACGTGGCCAAGAAGACGAGGGGTCGCAGGTGGGTGTCTCCGCTCCACTGCGGAACAAAAGCTACGAAGGCCCAGACGGTTAAGTCGTGGCGAGAGTGCTTTCACGCGAAGCTCACGGGCCACTCGGCCAGGAGATCCGGAGCCCTCTTTTACATCAGGTCCGGCTTCGCCTTGGAACAGGCCGTTGGAAGTCGGATGTTGTGTTGGAGTACGCCGCGGAAGCCCTCGAAGAACGTCCAGCCTTGGAGGGGGAAAAGAAGGGAGGAAAGAAGAGGAAAGCGTGTGGCGTCGACGCGGACTTCTCGTCGGTCCTCATGGACCACACCAGTTTGTTCAAGGAGATGAAGGAGGCCAACGAGGAGTTTAAGAGCAAACTCCAGGACAACCTGGCCAACTACCTCGACATCGTGGAAAAGTCGAAGGCCAACAGCACAGGATCTTCCACGGCCCAGGCCCCCGCCAGCAAGAA